TTGTACAGATAGTAAGCTGAATGGAATGTTCAGTTATTGTTCAGTTCTTTGAATACTAATGAATGAATGCGTATCATTAGGGACGATGGGATTAGTGTAGAGAGATCCATCAAGGCCATGTGTAAATGAGCTTTCTCGTGTTTATTAAAATTGGTTAGTATATATCAGCCATCTTGTGCTATAACTGAGAGAGAATTTTACAATATGCTAAGAGGACCGGCCATAGTAACGTGAATTAATTTGATCATCATGATAGAAACACTCCAGATATGTCTATAATGCTGGGACCACTTCTGCTTTTCTTTCATCTTTCTTTTCCTTCTGTGGTCTTTTTTCAACTGTTGGAAAAAAAAAGAATAATAAACATACATTGAGAGATGGCCAACAACCTTTCTTGCAACAAATTTCACAACAATATGTGGTTCCAGAAAATACCCATACCTGCCCTAAAAAGGGTACTAGTAACTGAAAATTCCAAGGTGAAGGGAGGTCTAACTTGAAACACAATTTTAAAAGGATAGTATGATACAAAGCTGCAGTTCAAATCAAGAAAATCTACTACTGGATGGGTATGGATATTTTTTGGGACAACAAAAAAAGGATTAAAGAACCTGACAGTGCATAAATGTACAAGACAGCTCATACATACCAGGTTCTTCTGAGGGAACTTCTGGTAATGGTTCTTCTGTTGGTACTTCTGGAAGCTTCTCTGTCACAGACTAACCACCAATGAAAGGAAAAGGGTATTTAAAACAAATCTTTCACACCTTCCCACCTTATTAACCCTTAAAGCCCAAAGACTGACAAGCATCTAATTTCTCCCTACAATATAACTCCTGAATTGCACATTAAGATCATGAAAATAAAGGAAATAGTCACCAGGGAAGGAACCTTTTGATTGGCAAACAAATTCTCCTTCTCAGCACCTTAGGAAATGTATGAAGAACAGTATGGAGAATATGCATACTGGTGTTACGGTGAAAAGGGTTAAATCAAAAGTGCCCTTGCTTTGAACAAACCTGGTTCCTAGGATCTCTCTTCTTCCCTTTCTTTTGCTATAAAGGAAGGGAAGAAGAGAGATCCTGGGAAGGAGGTTGGCTTTGTACCCCTTGTATCATCAATGCATCCCCATTCCCACTCTGCTGCTCATAATCAAGGACCCTAGTGTGAAATAAGGTCAGCAGAAGGTACAAAGTACAAACCTTTGTCATCTCTTCTAATTCTTGTAACACAGCATCTTCATCTTCCTGAGTCAAACTTCCACTTAAAAGTTCGTCAATCTCCTGTGGAAAGAAAATCAAAATTTTTGTTAACATTTGGTTAAAAACTGCAGAAATCAAAGCTTTTCAATTGATATCACTCACCCTCTGATACTCAATTCCTTCCCTGGTTTCATCCATTATTCTTTCTACATCTTCAATGGACATTATCTGAGACAAAAAGTACAATTGAAAGGCTCAGAGCAAGAACGACCCCTTGATTTTTCGGCCATTTTTGAAAGTGTTCAGAAGTAGTTGAATTTTGGCATGTGGACTTAGTTTTACTCGATATACACTGTTTTGGTTTTTTTTCCGCTGGTTTGCGCTTCGTTTCCTTTGACCAGAAAAAAAATTGACCAGAAAAAAAATTGACATGACATTCTACTTGCAAATTTTGATTTGTTAATATTAGTTAATATTAGTTATTGAAGTTAAAACTGCAGATATTGCATTACTAATGTTCTGATTGGTTCACTCAACTCCAGTGATCAGCTCATGTTCCGAGTCACCTCATTTGGAGTCATTGAATCAATGTAAAGGCCAAAGAAAAGAGTACTTTTTAATTTTACACAGTTACCTCATGCATTTTCTTCAGAGCTTCATTTCCTTGCTTCAGTCCATCAGCTACTTGAAGTTGAATTTGAGCAAACTCAACATCTTGTACCTGTTATACAATGATCACTCTTTGTCTCTTACTTGAATCTTTTATTTTATGATGGGTCAAGTACCCAGAGGGAGAAAAGTATTTTTGTAACCCCTTTGATTAGGGGTCAAAGGAGGTAAGACAGTGCTGCACACCTTTGGAATTTGATGAATGTGCAACAAACCAGGGGGGATACATCCTTGTAATAGCCTAGAGGGGATGTGCCACTGGATGGGATCACATTTCCTTGACTGGATTCATTGGAGTTACTAGTCTAAGAATGGGGTTGCAAACTTTCAAGATTTTGGGGAAAATAAAATTCTGGTTCGTAAGGTATTAAAGATGGAAAGATTTGCAGTTAAGAAGTTGTTACCAAGGATACTAAAAGTGACTAAGATAGGGTCTATAATTGGCAAAAGAATATACTATATTGGGGTAGGGGGATCCTTTGAGGCCAGCCACACTTAACCAGCAAAAATTGCCTCCCCCCCTTTAGTTGCAGGGTTTTTATCTAACTACAATAAAAGCTTTAGACATAAGTTTAAGTCCATCTCCGTCTCAAGTCATAAATTGAGATCACAACAGATCAAATCATATTATACTGGTAAGTAAGCTCCTATGAGTTTGATGAAGTGCATGAATATAATTTATACGTCTGTTAACAAACCATTTTTTCTAAGTTCTCCAGCTGGTTGTCTGTCCTCTCCAATGTCTGTTCCTGGTATCTCTTTTTCTTAAGCAGAAGCTTTGCTTTACTGCACAATAAAAAAGAAAATATTTAACTTTCCTCAATTATCAACTCTGATTTTTTCTTATTTTCCTCCTTGACTTGGATCTGGTTTACCACCTATGCATCTTGTTTGATGTTACATGTTGGTAAGAGCTTATGTTCTTTTGGTAGGAAATCTAACCTTATATAAGCCTCGTGGCTTCATTTAGGTTCCCTCACTATACACATTGTCATATTTAACTTAACTCATTGAG